TAATGGAAAGAAATTATTCAGATGGCTGTTATAAATTATGTGGGACGGCACAATATTTTATCTAGATACTTGATATTAGGAGACGAATGCACCTGATATAAGTTGAACTGAGATGGGCACGGTTGTATCTAAAAACTACTTCGTTAGTAGGTTCCTGAAAACGGTAATGGAGCATGTGTTAGTACAGCATGTGCCCAAACCCATACGTTTTGCTTCAAATAAAGGCTCTTCATTGTTACACTTGGTAATCACTCATATAACAGAGGACATTGCCAACCTAAATATTCTTCCACCGTTAGTGAATAGTTATCACACTGTTTTGCCATTCATGTTTAGAGCTGGTGACGAGATATACGATCACGTCAAGCCTCGCTCAAATGTATGGAGAGCTAACATATCAGCCATTCAGGAGTGCGTTGCTAAGACAGATTGGTCAGTAGATACTAGCTCATCAGTTTAAGAAGCGTGGTCTATATTCAAAGGCAAGTTCAGTTCAGTTATGTTCAGTTACCATACCTAGATCGAATAACTGTCTAACATGAATAGCCAAACAAGTCAATAAACCTCTGAGACGTAGGAAAAAGCACTGGAATACGTTCATTTCTACTGGCTTAAAACACTACAGGTCACGTTATTGTAGGACCAGGAATGCTTGTAAAGTGTTGATAAGCAAGTCCAGATAGTCGTATGAAAAACAATTGCCTGGGGATTGTAAAAATAGTCCGAAATGGTTATTCTCGTATATAAGAAGGCCCCCAAATGCCCTGGTATGACCGAGAGTGGGGTGGGCCCGCCCTCCCCCTTGAAATGCTCTCACAAGGCCACGCGTATATAGCCTCGTCCAGGGAGGTCGTACTCACTGCCTTCTCTTGGCGGGGGTGTTGTTTACGAAAATGAGAGGACAAAATGCGAATGTCCGGCGCTTTAACCGGATTCCAACCCAATGGTGCATATGGGCTCCAGTATCCTGCGGGAACAAATGGCGTATGAACCAATCGTTGATCACCGGCTACCGTGGGACTGCATCTCCTCGCGATGCTCCACTGCTTTATGGGTCAGACCTTAAGGTCAAAGGCTCGGGGAGTGGCCCCCTAAGATAACCACCTGCTGCGGTCTGGGCACCCGGGCAGTATCATAGCCCACGCACAAACAGGATGAAATGACAGTATTTACGGAAAATACTATATTGACTTCGATTAACAGTCAAACGATTCACGTTATTATTATTATTATTTTTATTATTTGCTACGTCTTTTATTCCCACTTTATGTATCCTTATTTTTCAACTTATACAGCGCCTCGCCTATGGTGGAAATTCGGTTCTATCCAAACGTTCTCGAGTCACTGCCTGGTTGAAAATTGTATGCTACCACCGAATACGAATACTGAAATAGCTTTTCTGAAACCACTTGCACCTTTCAAACTGGCTGCCCTCAACGTTCGCACAATAATGCAGGTCGGACAACAGATGGGGCTGACTATGTCTTTGGAAAGCATTAATATCGACGTCTGTTGTCTATCCGAGACCCGTACTCAAGACTCTGGTGAAGTATTACAAATTAACTCTCCATCTGTTGCTTCAAAAAGCTTGTTTTACGTGCGTTTATCCGGGGACCCAGTAGCATCTACGTCTAGTCTTGCTGACGTTAGTGTCTCACTAAGCGCTAGAGCTGAGGCAGCACTAATCGATTGGATCCCATTAACACTCAATTATGTGCTGTTAGATTGGAAAGTTTCATCAAAGTGAGAAGAAATGTGCGTGAGAAACGATGTCTTTTCGTCATCTCCGCCCACGCTCCGAGATTGCAGCCCGGATGCAATCAAGGATGAGTTTTACCACCAGTTATCTGTTCTTCTCCAGAAAGTGCGTTCGACAGACATTGTAGTACTAGCCGGAGACCTGAATGCTCAGATCGGGCGTCTAGGCACAGAAGAGAGTCGTTTAGGTGGCCGATGGGGACTCGTTGGTCGCAGGACAGATGACGGGGACCGTCTACTGCAACTGTGCACAGACCACGACCTGTTTCTGGCTAGCACTAACTTTCGGCACAGTCGTCGCCGATGTGCCACCTGGCGTCCTCCCTCTGCATCTCAAGCCTGGACTCAGATTGATCACATCACTATCAGCTACCACTGGTTTGGTTGTGTACAAGACTGCCGCTGCTTTTGGAGTACCTATCTGGACTCTGACCATGCCTTGGTCTGCGCCAATCTTGTCTTACTTTTCAGTGGCCAACGAAGTGACCGCCACCAACGGATTGATGTTAGCAAGCTGGTTGCAACTTCTGTTGCAAATAAGTATCGAACCGAGCTAGCTTTTAGGCTAGCTACCATTCCACCGAAAAATATAGATGAGCATTGGTTGCATCTTCATGACGCCATCAAAATGGTGAGTAAAGCCGCTTGAGGCTTGGTGGTCAGAGCGTGCAAATGAACTGGAAGCAGCAGCTGCATCTGGTAACTACTGGAAGCTCTTCCAACTCATCCGAGTCACTGGCAGCAAGAAGTCTGGTGTGAGCGAAACAATCTGCGAGGATGATGGGATGCCAATCACTAACATCCATCGACGTCTTGGACAATGGGCAGAATTTTTCGAAGGGCAGTTCAACTGGCCTGCTGCTCCGGCAACATCGGTCAGACTGTCCTGCCCTCCATGGCCGGTGACGACTGATCCACCAAATGAGGAGGAAGTCCGCAAGGAACTCCAACTCTTGAAGCTCTACAAATCACCTGACCCAGATGACTTACCCCCGACTCTTTCTAAAGATGGTGGTGACTTTCTGACTAAGGAACTGAAGACGTTGTTTACAAAGGTTTGGGAGCTAGAGAGTGTACCAACGTCATGGAATGAGTCGATAGTTGTCCCAACCTTTAAAACGGGTTCACGTCGTTCCTGTAACAACTATCGGGGGATAAGTCTACTTCCGATTGCGTCCAAACTATCGGCTTCCGCCATACTTCGTAGGTTGTTCAAAACCCGAGAAAGATTGACTCGCGAGGAGCAGGCTGGTTTTCGTTCTGGTCGTGGATGTATTGATCATATCTTCACCCTCAGCCAAATGTTAGAACACCGCCATATTTATCAAAGGCCAACAATCGTAGTGTTTCTTGACATCAGGGCTGCCTTCGATTCGTTGGATAGGACTGTTCTCTGGGATTGTCTATTGAAGAAGGGTGTGCCTGAGAAGTTTATTAACATCCTAAAAGTCCTATATACAAACACCTCAGACAGAGCGAGGGCATACAACCACCTTTCTCCATTGTTTCATTCGAGCAGTGGGGTTAGACAGGGGTGCCCAATCTCACCATTTCTCTTCAATTTCGCCATCGATGACATTCTGGAAACACCTCTGATGGATGTAAGTAATGGCGGTGTGGATCTGTTGTCCGGAGAAAGACTTCTCGACCTTGAGTATGCGGATGATGATATTGTCTTACTGTGCGATAATGCCCAAGGCATGAAATCCGCACTTAATCAGTTGGCAATTAGTGTCCGTAGGTATGGTATGTGCTTTGCACCTTCAAAGTGCAAAGTCCTTCTACAAGACTGGCAGGATTGTACTCCTGTACTCACCCTGGATGGTGAGCAGATAGACGTAGTTGAGAAGTTCGTGTATCTGGGTAGCTGCATAAGTGCTGGTGGTGGTGTGAGTGATGAGATCAATGCACGAATAGTGAAAGCCAGAGCGGCTTATGCCAATCTGGGCCATCTTTGGCGCCTTCGTGATGTTAGTCTGGCTGTAAAAGGTCGGATCTGCAACGCGTCGGTGAGAGCAGTTTTGCTCTATGTTTGTGAAACCTGGCCTCTCCGAGTTGAGGATGTTAGACGACTCTCTGTGTTCGATCATCGTTGTCTCTGAAGGATTGCTGACATTTGGTGGCAACTCCATGTTAGTAATACAGAGGTTCGGCATCGTGTGTTCGGGCACAGAGACGATAATGCAATTGGTGTCGCCATCTTGAAACACCGACTTCGGTGGCTTGGACATGTTCTACGAATGTCGTCCGAGAGAATTCCACGTCGTGTATTATTTGCCGACTCTGGGACTGGTTGGAGAAGGCGGAGAGGTGGTCGGCATATGACATGGTGTCGTGGTGTGAAAGAAAGCTGCAAAGGATTGGCTTCTGTTGGTCCTTCTTGACTTCTTGGCTGGGGTCTTAGAGATGGTGCTACACAGTGGCTAGAGACGTTATCAGATATGGCTCAGAATAGAAGCCAGTGGCGATCCTGCTGTAACGTTCTTTTACTTTCTTCATAAAAAGTGGTTGTTTCTCCCTTAACTGAAAGATTTCTTCTGATTTTACCTTTCCGTTCCCCATTATTACCATTCTCCTTTTTCTTATGATAATTATTATTAACCATAATAAGCAGAGGTCTCAAAACTACTGGTAACTGTAATGGTGCTGCTGCAAAAGGCTGTAGGGTATTATGGGCTATTCAGAGGTCTTTTCAGTGTTTGGATGAAGAAGTGTTTGTATTATTATACCCGACTTTCGTGCGACTGCATTTGAAATATAGGATTCAAGAAGCGAGTCCCTGTTTCATGTATGGAGCGGACATGCTGGAATGAGTCCAATGACGAGGGACTAAAATGGCAAAGGTCTCTCTGGCCTATCTTATGAAGTCTGGGGTTTCATTTCTCGCAGTGAGTAGTAAATTACTGGAATTCTCTACCGGAACATGTAATATCAGCACCTCCTGTTGATATGTTGAAAACGAGCTTAAACCTCCACAGTGTAACAAACTGCAAGGATTAGTATATGGGTCGATAGACTCCCTACCCTTGTAAATGAAGACTGAAGAATTATTTACAGCCACAAACTGAAGTCTGTTACTCGGATCTTAGCATTAGAAGTATTGTAAACTCAAGATTATCTCATGGTCAAAAATGAATTTTCGATGTTGGAAAAATGATTAACTATGACTTAAGACTAACATTAAAATATACAATCTTGGCTTCTTTCTATTGAATGTTTTGTTTATATTTCGTACTGAGTCTGGAGATTCGTAATTTCAGTCGTTGGGATGGCGGGTGATAACACTGAAATAGACTTGTATGATAATATTGATGAGGACTTCGTGCAGGTACTAGTTAGATTTTCTCTATATTGCTTCCTAGGAATGTACCGATCTCACAGAGTTATATGACGATGTTATCGCACCAATTAAGTCAGAGAATTCTTCTGGCGTTCCATCAATGGTAATTTTCTGTTCTATTATGTATAATTGTCATGTTATAAAGGCCTCTAAGCACTCATATAGTTCTTCAGCTCCTCCAGGGCGCCGTGTATCAGTCTATGTCGGTAATTTGACTTGGGTAGTTGTGAATTTTTCAAATAACGAATAAAAAACAAATTTGTAGTGGACAACAGATTTAGATTTGCTAGAAGCAGCATCAGGTATCGGTATTAACGATGTTATTGAAATAAAATTTCACGAAAACCGACAAAATGGTCAATCCAAAGGGTAAGCTGTGGGAATACACGTCAATTTACTTGTAGGTTTTGTGTAATGGTTTTCGGGTCAGAACAGTCCATGCGTTTGGCTATGGACAAATTTCCAAAAATAGATCTCCACGGCCAAAATCCTGTTGTCACAAGCTATACAAAGCACAATTTGAGCGTTTTTGAAAAAGCTGCTGGCAGCGACAATCAGGCTACTGCCCGACCTCGCACGGAAGAAATGCAGACAATGAAGGTGTCTGGAGGTAACTGTCGATCTCTGTATGTATTGACGATTTTTAGCAGGCACTACTGGTGTTTTGGGGAACCGCTTACCGCCTCCATTAATGGCTACACCTACTATGCCTGCATCACTTGGATTCAGTGTACGCAATAACAGTCCTTTGATGGGACAAGTCGTCCCAAACGTTCGAAATGCAGCAAATCTGTCATCTAGTATTCAACAAGCTCTTGCTAATCACAATGCACACTCCGGCTTAGGCGGAAATTCAAACGTAAATCAATTGCCTTTAAACTTTCCGGGTTCAACCGGCGTTCTAATGCCTCCGAGTGGCATGTCAACAGCAACCTTAGCAGCAAATGCTACAGGACTGTTACCCTCAAACTTCACTCTTCCTAGCACGATTGCAACATCCATCGCAACAAATGCTCATGTGAACCCAAATTTTTTGACACAACAAGTACCGGGAAATCCTCCGATGTTACCAAATTCTTTGCCACCTGGTGTAATGCAGTTGCCTACTCAGAACAATGATTCCAATGTAAGACCACAGTTTGATCATTACGGAAGACCGGTTATTCATACTTATACCCCTCGTAAGTCCTTATTAATAGTTTAGTTTTATGTACTGGCAGCTTAAATGTCCCAGTATACTTAGTCTTCGGTTTCATTGGATGCTCATAGAAACAGTCAATTGAAAAAATTTGAGATGCTACCTCATGAAGGCTCTTGTGTGATTTTTCATTTCACCTTGTTTTGCGCACTTATCAATTTGACCAACGAGATACGTGTTTATACTTGATTTTTTTGTTAGGTCTTTATAACACCTGGTAATATTGTGCACCGTTACAGAAACATAGGCATTAAAGCTAAAATCTGCAAAATAGTAGTTAATATTCATGTACTTTGATTATTATTGGAATCCTAAACAGATCCTTCATTCACTGTCAAAGAGTTGGAGATGTTCCATTTAACTTTCCCCAGAATACCTACGTACCGTTCATGTTAATTGTTATTGTAGATTACTCATTATGAGAAGCAGATTCTTGTACTTGGTTGCAAGTATTAATTCGAGTATAAAAACTAGTAATACTTTCCTGTCTCCAGGCGAGGTTCAAACCTGCCACTCGCCTGGAAACCGCATGCTGTAAATGTTGAGCCACTCCCTGATCACGTTAATATGTTTCATCTACCAATAGAAAATCTATATACTGAATTGTTGATGCCTGACTTCATGAATTACGTTGTGAACGGAATAGTCCGTGAAATAAACTGGCCACTTATTGCAATGTAGACGAGTCTTGACCCGCCTGTAACATCTTGGAAGCTAATGCGCTTAAATAGTGGTCTCGTATCCTAGTTCATTTGGACACTGTACTGCTTAACAGTAGATACTTAACCACTGTCGGTCTTGCACTCATGTTAACAAAACGTCATTTGATTCTTTTCAACAACCAAGATGTTTGTTGTTGATCCAAAGTTACCACTGTACTAACTACGATAATCTGGCTTCCTAAAATGGGACTATGTGCTTATATTAACATGTATGCTTGTTCAGTTTTGTCTCAAATAAAAGTTCTCATAGGTCACTGTGAATCAAATGGTCATTTGTTCAAAGTTAATGGTTGTTCTTAGTCTCCAAAAACAGGTCTTGTCATAAGAAATACGAATCAAATTCTATGCACCAAGGATATAACATTTAGTAACGGGTTTATGTAATTCTATTTAGATCTGCTCTTTGAGCAGTTAGGATGTATGTAAAATCAAAGTCAGTCAAACGAAATCCTGATTAATGTAAGTCTTAGTTGTGATTCCTTTATATTTCTAAAACATTACAGGGTGTAGTAACCATCTGTTTATAAGAAAACCAGAATATGGGATAATTAAGTGTAAAAACCGTATTCCAGCATACGTCAGATGTGTAATCGTTTCTAGAGCCTTCTTCCTTCGCCCCATAGATTTCGGTTTACACAAACTAGCAGCATCATTATATATCAGTGCTTTAGTTGAACATCATTAAACTCACTTTAGGTGTAACTGACCTAAGCCTGTTACCTTTCGGGATAGACGGCCTACCAATGAGATCCAACCAATTCTGTCCTGAGCTATCCTTTCTAATTTTTGCCTAGTAATATTCATGTCCCTGATAACTACCTTCAGTTCCCAGCATCATGTGTTCTTTGGTCTGTTTTTTTCCTTTCGCCTTAAAGATCTTGATGTACTGCTTGTTTTGTGATACAGTTTTATTGATTCTCGCAAACTATATCCCATCCACTTCTAGCTTCTTCCTAACTTCCTCCTCAGCTGTAAGCTATTCTGTTTTCTGTCACAGTTGTTTACTGATGGTCTCTTGCCAAGGATTCTGTAGTATGTTTCACAGACAGCTGTTCACAAATACCTGTACTTTTTGGTGATTGTAGTATCAGTTCTTCAGGTTTCACCCCCATATAATAGCACTTTTGATATTTGTGTTGAGTCTTAATTTTGGTTTTGAATGACAGTTGTATCGAGTGTCAGATACTCTTCAAGTATAAGAATGTTGGTCTTGCTTCACATCTGTATCAGATCTTTCTTGTGTATTGGTGATGCTTCCCAGGTATATAAAAGTTACCACCTCTTTCAGAGCTGGTTGGTACTTACTGTATCGTACTCCAGAGTCTTGAATATTGAGTCCTATCGCTGCAGAAGCTTTTGCATGGTAAAGAATGGTCTAAATTATCCAGCTGCGCCCAAGGTGTATACTGTATTCCGTGCTTTTACCGGGACATGGACATCTTCATAACACAAAAACAGCTAGAAGAAAAAGAAAGTGTGAGAGCAGGCACCTTTGTTTGACACGCGTCTTTAGTTAGGATACATCTGTGAGCTACTCTCCATGTACAAGTTTTCACTTCAGTCATTCGTAGGTGTTCTATGAGGTGGTGACGATCTTAGGTACTCCACAGTGTCAGAAAATTTCAGTTTTTCTATTCACGCTGTTAAATGCCTCCTCACAGTCTGAGAAGTTGATGTACAATAATAAGTTCTGTCCGATTGATTGTCCAAACAAAGATAAGTAGTGTCGGGGTTTATCTGTTAAATAATCGGTCTGCATAAAAACCAGTGTTTTGGTCTAAAAGTTGGGAGCCTCTTGGATTTTCCATTCGGCTCAGCAAGACGTTTGTAAACTTTTCCTGTCACAGATATTAGTGTGATGGCTCTGCGATTTAAACTACAGGGTTACGAAAAATCAGTGGGTTTCTACTTAGTCTATTGCACAGATGGGTTCTCGCAAACTCATCCCTTCAGGCTTTGAACACGATGAAGGGCGAAAGCAAATCAGATCTAGGTTAACCAAAAAGTCTAAAGAATAACCGTGAGCCGTGGTGGACAACGAAAGCAAAAGAGATAAAAAAGGTAGCGGCTGTAGGTAACACAGGACAGCTCTTCAGACTCATAAAAGAAACTGCAACTAAATAGTCAAGTGTAAGTGAGACTATCTCGGAAAAAAACGCTCTTATCTGCTCCCAACCCAGACGTTCAAAACGATGGGCGGAACGCTTTAAGAAGCAGTTCAACAGGCCTTCATCTACTCTACAACTACCCATCATTCCCAGACAGCGTGAATGGAACATTGAAGTAGGTCCCCCGACTCTAGCTGAAGTTCGTAAGGCCATAGCTAATCTGAAACTAGGTTGGGCAGTTGGTCCAATTTTAGCGATTAAGTTGACTAATATTTTAGCTAAAATCTGGGAGTTGGACGTAATCCCATCTGACTGGTCTCAATCGCTTATTGTCCCAATATATAAGAAGGGATCAAAATCGTCCTGTGACAACCATAGAGGGATTAGTTTAACTAATATAGCATATAAAATACTAGCCTCAATAATTATCGGACGCCTGACAAAGGCTCGTGAACTATCAACACGAGAAAGTCAGGCTGGCTTCAGACCTGATCGTGGCTGTATCGACCACATATTCACCATTCGTCAGGTTCTAGAACACAGACATACCTATCGGCGTCCGACAATGGTGGTCTTTCTTGACTTAAAAGCAGCATTTGACTCGGTAGACCGCGAGATTCTGTGGCAGTGTCTGTCATTGAAATGTGTACCTCAGAAGTACATAAACCTTGTGAAGGCTCTTTACACGAAAACGACTAGTCGAGTGGAAGCTTATGACAAACTGTCATCTGTTTTTGCAACCTCAAGTGGTGTCCGTCAAGGCTGTCCACTCTCTCTATTTTTGTTTAACTTCATCATAGACCTACTGATGGAAATAACGTTCTCGTCGACTGAATTCTCGGGCATTGATCTCCTTCCAGGAGGTCCACTTGTCGACTTAGAATACGCAGATGACATAGTCCTGTTTGGTGAAGACGCTGACAAAATGCAGAGTCTTCTGGTAGCACTAAGCAACAATGCCAAGGTGTTTGGAATGCACTTCTCTCCCTCTAAATGCAAGTTTTTGCTTCAGGACTGGCCTGCGTCAACACCTGAACTAAGGATAGGGAGTGAAGTGGTCGAACGCGTTGACAACTTCACTTATCTTGGAAGTCTGCTCAGCTCTAATGCGTTGGTGTCTGACAAAATCTCAGCACGGATTCGAAAAGCTCGTCTGGTTTTTGCCAACTTACGTCACCTATGGCGAAGGCGAGATATCCGTCTGTTAATTAAGGGACGAGTACACTGCGTGGCATTTCGTTCTGTTCTACTTTACGGCTGCGAAACGTGGCCATTAAGATTGGAAGATACTCGTAAGCTACTAATATTTGACCACAGATGTCTTAGAAATATTGCTGGCGTCTCTTGGGATCACTGGGTAAGTAATAATGAGGTTAGACGCAGGGTATTAGGGAACGATGGTGAATCTTCATCGACTGAGATTGTTGGGCCACGTGTTACGTATGCCTGAACGCCGATTACCACGACGTGCAATGCTAACCGGTGTTGGAGATGGATGGAACAAAGTTTGGGGCGGCCAAACCAAAACGTGGCATTAGTCCACAAAGTCACTAACTTCTAGTCTGAGCCATGTTGGTAGACGCAGACTACTTGGTTGAAGTCTGCAGGACTCGTAACAAATGGTTGGAAACACTGGGTGACATGGCTCAGAATCGATCACAATGCCGTAGGTGTATACACTCTCTGTATTCCCTTAAACTGTGAAATTAAAATCGCTTGATATATTTTTTCCTACGAACTAATTTTTTCTTCCTGTACTATATCCTTATACACAATCTTTACTATAATTGAAGTGACTACTATGAATTCGGTGCTCATCTTGTTGTGCTAATGTGTGGCAACTTGCACATATGTGCCTGGTCCTACGTTGTGGCTGGCTGACTGACTGTGATGCCTCTGTAACTCTCACTTTGTAAGGTCTACTTCCTTATCTTGGTGGGATGTGTTTTTCGTGCCAGTGTGTTGGTATTTATTTCTCCTAAATCTTTCTGAAGAGGACGTGAAACATCTGTGTGCATCCGTGGCAGTTCTGTGTGATAGACTGCGGCCTCACAAAGGTGATCTTTATCGTCTTACTGCTATCATTGGTGGGTGCGCAACACTGGATAACATCCATTGTAACCTTTTTTGTTTAAAAGCGTCTCTTTATGGTCCTAGAGCCATAACATTATTACTCTATAAGCTCTTTCCGGTTCTCTTCGAAGGGCTTAAGTGCAGCCTTCCTGTCTGCAGGTCTTGTTTTTCCTTATGATCAGAATACAAAAGTGCCTCTCAACGTTAGTCTTTTTTATCCAGCGTGTGTCTAACGAGTTCCACTTATTTTAAACAGCCGGGAATTGGAACGGAAGGGTCATACAGTTCACAAATGCTTGAGCAAGGGTTCTGCTTGAATATAACCAAAAGGATTATGTTAGTGGAGCTGATCTCACTTTTATGTATTAAGAAATTGCAAAAATCCCAACTGACTAATCTAAGTTATATCTGATGACATCTCAATTCACTGAGTCTTGTCATCTCTAGAACTCGGACCATGGAGCCTTGTTTGTTCAGAGAATCCGAGTCCTATACAACTCGCCCACATCAAGGCGCTGTGCCATAAACTGACTACCTGTACTTTCTCCATCCAGTCCCAGCGTTGGCAAATAATGGGTAATATAAAAGTCGCTGTGGTAATATTAGTAAAATTATGTCTAAGGCACTGAAGCTGGTTTTTAAGTTAGTGATACTAACTGGGTTGTTACTGCCAGAACACATGTTATCGAACTTCAGTGTTACTAACATAGTATTACGACTGGGGATCACAAACCCTTCGAAGGTATTAATCGCACATAGTTGCTAAACCTCAACAGGATAAAACTGCTCTCGTTGACTCATCGTAAACATAACACCCAGATTAAGTCACGACAGTGTCAAAGAAGGTCTGGATTAATGCAGTGTCACTCTGGCTTCCACTATTTGTAAAGTTATTTCATCGTTCATGTCACTACTAGCACGCATTCGTACTCACATACACAGTTTTCGACTATTAACAGGTGACCACAAAGAGTGAATACAGATGGGCTTCTGTCAGTCCTGCAGAAGTACTTTGCACTTGAAAGTATTAAGTAAGTGATCTCACGGATACTGATTAAGTCCACTTTGGGATAGCTTGTTTTTTCGTACACCAAACTAATTTCAACCCTATACATTAGTAAATGAAGTCTTATGGTCCAATGAATAAATAGTCCATTAAGTTGATCTGGTGTTGAAACGTAAAGGACAGTCAGTCAAACAGAAAAGTAGCCACCAATAATTTTAAGGTTATTTAATTGTCACAACATGCTCTAGTATGAACGGCGTTGACATCTACTTTGAGTAATAGCATGTGTTCAAAATTTCATCTTCAGGAACTTGCAGTTCCTTACACTTTAGACCGAATAAAAGAGTTTGATGACTTCCCGTTACGTGGTTTCCCTGGTCTACTTGTTTTAAATAATACATCACTGTAGTTGACGAACATGTAGTGTCATTCATCTGAGTTACAAACAGGTTACTTTCAACATTACTCAAAGGCGTCCAACATCTGGTCAAAGGTCTGACTAGGCTGTTTAGAAAAAATTAGGGAGTGGAGTGGTCTATCTTTCTGAAATGAAATGACCGTTATTCCTATTATTAAAAAACTGTATATATCAATTATCGGGATATAAGTTCACTTTTTATCGCTTCCGAACTATTGGCACCCGTTACCCACTGCAAATTGTGAGAGATTAACTCGAATAACAGTCCAGCTTTCGTACAGTTTTGTTAATACCCAAAAGACTGCAAGCACCTCGATGACAGTAATAGCATACAACCTCCTCTCCATGAAATCCACTTGAAAAGTGAAAATGGAAAAGCGTGCTTAAGGTAAAACAAGCTGAGCACTTAATCGACCATCAAGGAGTTGAGTTTAATCATGGAATTTTGGGAACGGTCCTATTAACCTCCAGCCACCGGTCCAGGATTATTATTAAAATTGATAGATATGAAGTAGAGCACTTGAGCTTCACTCAATCCCACCTGATTATTCTTGGTAGCCTGCTATTTCAATTTGTATGAATGGAGAGAAATCCTCTTAATAAACAGTCAGTCTGAAATATTAACTTACATAACCGGCCGTTGCCCAAATGAAGCTTAGGGACTGCGAGTCCAAAGAAATTAGATTAGTTTTAGGACTTAGTATGAATACTAGCTCTTATTTTATGTAACGTCTTGAAAGTATGTAACACTGCTAGGATATTTTAATTTGTACTTAACAGTTACTGTTTATTGTAAAATGTATGCTATCTTTTAGCTTATTCTAGGCCCTAATCCTCTTTTGGACTAGTCGGGGTTCTTCATTTCCTGCTCTTGTCTTTAGTATTGATGTATCACTTAGATTCTTGCTACCCAACTGATCATTCTGTTTCGGATCTCATTGGTATCCTTCCCAAGTGTTATAACAATATGCACTGAGTTATAAGAGTGATTATCTGTTTTACTGTTTACCGTTAAATATATGGTGACTTGATGTTATTTCCTTGCAGCTGTTCCAGGAAAGCTCTCTGAATCAGAGTTCGAAGATATTTTGCAGAGAAACAAGACAGTCTCCTCAAGTGCTATTAACAGAGCCGTACAGGATGCTGCTGGTGGTGATTATGCAAGTGCTATTGAAACATTAGTAACTGCAATATCTCTTATCAAACAGTCAAAAATAGCTAATGATGACCGATGCCGGATTCTGATCAACTCTCTTCAAGACACTTTACATGGTATTGAGTCGAAGTCTTATGGTGCTAAGTAAGATGGGTTTACTTTTTGTTGATTCACTGATTTTTAACTAAGATCTATTGAAAAAGTAACCTTTGTAAAAATTTGCTACAGAACTCATAGATTTCCATGGTCTGATAAAAAATGGACAAAATATGTTCCATTTTTCTCATACGTGTACTATTACAAACCCAATTTCTTAAATTACAAGCTTCAACGAGAATTTACTGAATGTAACTTATTGAAATAAGTGTATTACATATCTGTGTGGAGATTCGCGGTCTTCCAAAGTTTACATTTAATGGATTTAATAGCTTCTGTCCCGATGGTCGTCAAGTCAATTCTGTTGCTAACCAGTTTGTTGTGAGCATTAATAATAAAGTGAAGCTTTTAGCATTTTGACTTTCAAGTCACAGACATGTTTAGTAAAAATGTGTCCATTGCAACGTTGCTTGAGAGTGCACTCATGAGCTGCCAAACGTTTGTCCCCATTTTCGCAGTTGTAAAAATTTAAATCGATTGTTACTTACTAAGTTCATTGTGTTTCTGACTCAATCTTCGAATCGATTTGATGTTGTGGTAGATTGTTAGGGCGAATAGTACTTCTGATGCGTCATATATCTCAACCACTTCAGCCGATGGAATTCCACAACCTTGCTAACTGATTTGCAATAACTTTAATGGCTTATGGCAAATTTTTAAATTATTTACTCAAGGGTTCTGTAATGGCTGAGAAATGTTTTGAGGATATGTCGTCAGATTTCAGCAACTTAAGCATACCTTAAACCTTCAAAAGCCATTATAGCTATAAGTCAGTGATAAACAATATGGGACCTGGTACACCACGACACAATGCGATAAAATTACGAGTATGGGAAGTGTTAGAGGTATTATTATTATTATAGGTAGTAAAAGTATTAGGCATAGCGAATAAAAATCACGCGAAAAGAATGGATTTTCAGAATTAAATGCTTGAAATTATTATGAAACTTAGTCATAGGGAAGTCAAACAGTGAATGCATCTACGTCATTGGGATAGGTTCTCAATCATGCCATCGGACTTGTCCAACCATTGGTCATGAGAATCACACAGACCCTAACCGTGTAATTTGAATTTAATAACATACTAATCCACAGTCAATTATTTTAAAGTCTATTACCACTTTTAGTTCGGTCGCTCCTAGCTTTCTTTTAACCTACACCCCCGTTTCGTAATTACAAATTTATATAGAGCCACATGTCGCATTGTACGCTGTCTTTTCGATAATTACGCAAATATCTCATATGCACCATATTCGGGCTTTCATATCAAATGATTCTATTCCTCGTGCTTACAATGGTTTCTTAGCAATAACCGTTTGTCGGAATTTCGTTACTGCAGATAATTGTTCACCAGATGAAAGTGCCAAAATTGAATGAAGCGGCTTTGAAAACTTAAGAAACTAAAGAATAAAGGCACTAGTTCTAATTTTAAGCCATGCCATTTGATATCTACAATTATTGATCGAGGCCATATTGCTAACTTTTAATTAATGTCCTAATCTAATAGCGTTTATATGTAGAACTTGGGTTCTGCATGTTCATGTATCCCCTTTCATCCTAAAGTTTAGTTCATTTTCGTCTCACTAGAGAACTAATCCAACAAATACTATGTAAACACCTGCGTGCCTTTTTATCTGTTGTATCGATCCAGTCAGTATCGATAAAATAAAAGTCGAGCCTTTATTATATAAAGTCAACATGAATTGTCATGAAATCTCATGAGTCATGTTCTTTTTTTTAACCGTTATATGATTATAGAGTTTCTGTATGGAGTGACTCAGATCGAATTACGTCGGTGACATTAGGCTTATCGTGTATTTTCTGACCTATTCTCCACCTTTCTATCATTTCGGATCTTCGATTATTCTGACACTTTTCCATGGTTGTTGGATTAATTGCTAGATAAACTCTACCCGCTATATTGGCTCTTCATCCGATGACGTCTGGATTCATCAAGGGAATAATTTCACTCAACATTTTTGTCTCTTCCTGTGTTTTCAATTTGTGAATATTGACAGATAATGCCACGGCTTTATTTGTTTGTCCATTTTAATACATTGAGATGTTTGATCATTCAAGCAGGTTAAAGTAACTAGATTTTCATTCTGAAATGATTATGCTGTATTTCCTCGATTTTTTTCTTGACAGGAGCAGTAGTCGAAGACGTCGTCGTTCGTATAGCGACAGTGGCAGTGATGGTGGAGAAGGGAATTACAATAGTTCCATCAGTGGTAGTGGCAACAACAATTCTCGTCGTCACAGAGACCGAAATCATAGGTCTCGATCTCGTGACCGACACGATCGGCATGAACGTCACGATCGCCGCAGACATTCTCGTGAAAGAGGGTCTGGAAGTGGCAACACTTACTATGGGATTGGATCCAGTCTTCCTCTTCCTAGTGGATCTGGTTTGTCTGGAATCCAATCAGTAGATGGTTCCGGTCAGACGTGTGCTGGAAATCTTGGGAGCAGTGCAGATCGGTATCGAGACAGTCGATACAGACATTAATCCTAGTTACATACTCCTCTCAATTGCCAACCTGGTGACCAGTGTAGCAGTACTTTTGTTTTCTAATTAATTTTTCAATTCGTTTGTTCTCCCAAATCATCTGGTTGTACAGTTTGGTCATATTTCAATAACCATTGACTCACTTCATTGCTGCTAACTTTTATGTTCACTATTTTCGTTGTATTGGTAGAATTGGAGCTCAGGAGTGTAACAGGCAAGTGAAATCCTATAATATATGTTTATTCAATCTTTTTAGCTTGTCCACTTACTCAGTGATCCGGTTACCATTGGTGCTTAGTTTTGGGTGTATTTGTAATTATCATTTTGTACATTGTAATCTTGTTATTCCTTTTCGCTTTACTGTTTTGTATACATCACTTGTTATTGATTATGTTTTCGTTGCATGTACTGACAACTCTTTGATATAGAATGACCATCAGCTAACTATTGGAGGAGTGTATATCCGATTTGATTAATGTTGCTAACTTCTCCCTTGATAATTATGTAGATATTTCCCCAGCCAACTTCATTCACTGTACATTTTCAATCCCTCCTGTTCCTATAAAGTGTGTATAGTTTCTGTATATTATTAAGACAAATAAAAATTTGTTTAATGTGGCATTGTAAAGCTGAAGTGTTCATATTTCTGTATATATCAGCTGTTTCATATGTTGTAAATAGATACTGAGAACGGACGTGGAAAGTCTTGAATGTACTTGTTTGATTTCAATGTAAATAGTTTTTATCTAAAACGTTTCTGGTTCCTCATCATACCACTTGTATATAATAGACTGATTGATGCCCCCATAACTTTGTATACATAAATATCAATATTTTAACTGTTACATTCCATGTAAACAATTTTTTTTCTAAAATAAAATATATTACTAGTCTTCTTAATGAATATGCACAACCTAAATGCGTCAAAATATGTCTTTTGTCATTTCGACTGTCTAACTCTATTTTTTCTTCCTTTTCAGGTGTACAGTGGTCGTTTCAAATCGGGTCTAAATTATTGTTTTAATTTTAAAAAAATATACTTATCATTGTGTCACTTCGTTTTTTTCTTATTTTCTGAACCACAACTACATTCACAGGTGTAGTGTTAACCATAAGGGTTCTACATCTAGGTTAATGAGTTACATCTATTTAAGCAATCCATTCGTTAATCATGCACATTTCAATAAACCCTAAAACAATGTACATAGTATAACAAGCATAGTTTCTGATTTATTCAATGCGATTATGATACGTATTTTCTTGATGTGTTCTGACCGCTATTAAGCAAGCATTTTACTTAAGCGGCTCACACTACTGACTTATTTTAAGTAGCGTAAATTACTGAGTGAAATGTTTGGTTTTGAGTCAAACATATTTATGAGGGTTAATGGTATCACTCATTTGAAGTGTAAAGGACAGTATGGCTCTCAAACTCTTTGTTTTGTGACTATAAGCTGGTTGCATCAGTTAATTAAATTAATAATCATAAGACTTGTTCACAAGTATGATTCTTCACAAAGTGATGTGAGGTTACTTCAAGGTCCTATATTTTTGGACCTGTTAATAGCACATCTATAAATTTAATCCCTACAACAGTTTGTCTGTTTCACTTATGCAGCGGTTTTTCCTCGGTAGATTGGTTTGTTCTTAGATTCCAGCAACTCAGAAGAATACAGGAGTCTGAACTTAAATCTACTAAACATTACCAATAAAATTCCTTATATTACGATGTTGATTGGAATTGTCTGGAGTAGTAGGAAATCGTAATAGGATACTTGCATATGGTGATTGTCAAACCGTCTCAGCATTTATCGCAATAGCTCAGGTAGCTATGCTGTCATTTCCCCAACAACTAGACAGATCGTTACACTTGGGGGTATTTAGACTCGTTAATTACTTCTTGATCTGATGTGTCTATATCAGTTGAAGTTGTCATATCCACTTAGCACAGAAAATGAAACTTCACCCAAACCCAAATGTAAAGATAGAGTGGATGTACCTGCGCTATTGCGAAAGAAATGCCACTCAGAATTTTTAACCACGGTTCACGATTATTGCTCAGATCCTTAGTAGGTAGTCTGCACCGCCTAATATAGTTCATTCCAATTCCATGGACTAATACCATTTTTTGTTTTGCGCTCCCTTAGCTTTCAATGTACTCAAACCAAGTCTCGTGAGTGAATCAAATCAATTAGGCCATCATAGTCTTACTGCCCATTTATTGCATTCACTTTGCTTTTTTCGTGTCTAATTTTCCATCATTAACGAGAGCTGACAAGTGAATATTTTTTCGAATTTCAGTTTTTCCACTCAATGGGTCGTTACTCTTTAAATATGCACATAGTCATCCTTTCGATTCTAATCTACACTTAATAATCCTATGTTTTTGTGGACCAGATATTTCTATTTTATACTATTTCTTACACTATGCATCCATACCTTCATATAATTTCAACACCTATTTGATTGCTAGTAACGGTGGTTTACTAACATAGATAATCCGAGCAAGCGAAAAGGTAGTCACTCATTTTAAGGAGTTTCAATTCTTTTTTGTGTTCATTGTTTCTTACATCCTTTCATTATGCCTAATGATTAATTTAAAGGGAAGGATAAGTCAAATTCTGACAGGTTTATTGCGCTTTATCTATTTTCCCTTAATTTCGTTTTTGTGAGTTATTATATTTTTCAGATCGGTTGTACATTTATTAAATTAACTACCAACATTTTTTCTTAGTTCTCATATAAGTATTTCGAATAAATTGTCTTCGTGAAATTCACATGAGTCTGTTTACGAGTTAGTATGATAGTACCTTTAAAATATGCAGATAATTTTCTATAATTCCATACAAATTTGGAGTAAAATGATTTATTGACCATGGTTGTGAAATAAGCATCTATATCTACTTTTTCCACCACGACATACTGTCAGTTAAGATGTTGAGAATGTGAGAATTTATTAATTAAGAAGAAACAAAGAGTTAATGATGGTTTTCACTGTAACATAATATACCATTAAATCCCAATTTATTATTCTCTTCCTTCTTGTAGTTGGTCAAATACACATTCATGAATTCTGATGTATATTTTTCTTTGTAACTTGGTCGTATCATAAGTCACTATTCTATTCATGATCTTTAGATTCTTCGTAGTTTCACTAAACCAGTGTATTAATTCGTGTAAACATAGTCCCAAATGTGTCTGAACTATTCGCTAATTGTAAAAGTATTAATCAGGTGTCAAGATACCGTATGATATGACACTGTTATGACTTTAAAATGAGGTCGCTTCTTACCCTGTGCTAATTGTTGTGTCCTTGACTGAAGAGATTAGAGAACAGCGTATTTATCGATCGATTACAGTGACACGTAGACACGTACGGACGGCCTAGAGTCTCGATTGGTCCCACTTCCCTGTCTAGCCCAGTTAGTTGAGTCCAGAACACAAGTCACAACCTCTGAGATATGAATCATTATATTTCAAACATACTTTGTTTATATACCAATCGAGCACACCACATCGTACCATAAAATAGAAAACAACATTTTGTACAATATTCAACAAGTGAACAGATATGGACCAATAGAAAATGTCCATTTAAAGTCCAAGGACACCATTGGACTTAACATGATAATTATTGGTCTATTCCTCCGCATCCACAACAGACACACATCGTCCTTATTACTTAGCTATGGAAATCCATAGATTCTAGATAACTGGAAGTGTGAATGCATGTATTACGTGAGGTAATCATAAATACTGCAGAAGGCGAATATTAAGTTAAAACATTATCCCGACAAGTTGGAACCATATATTTTTGTGACGAGTGGCATTGATTCGTCAGTAGGAATATCGGATTAAAGTCTACAGAAGTTATTTGAAGAAATAATAAGTACAAAAAATCCAGAAATCTTAAAAGAAGGCAAACGAACATTAATTACAAGTGACAAACATTGGAATACCTGTCAGGCTCAATACGATCACCGAAAGCCTGGTGCTAGACCAAGGATATATATATTAATACCTGGGATTAGGGTATCTTTGAGGAAATGTGTTGTAGTTTCTAGTTGGTCAAGTTTGCCTTATTATAAAATACTTAAGTCATGTGTGTCTATCATTTGGTTATTGTTGCGGTGTTGTTTTGATACAATCTTTTCTCAACTGTATAGTGTATCATTACTTTTGATGTTAGTTATGATATCAAAAAGTATTTGGTCAACTTATTTTCGGGCGGGATATTGTCATTTAACCGAACACTTTTAGTCGGTTCACCACAGCCATGTATAAAAGGTTCGGAAACAGTATGATCGTTTTAAAAAATTCCAAATGTGTATGTCATTTGTTCACAACATAATTATTATGGAGTGACTTATACACGTGTTCATCAAATGAATCATGAAAAAAATGAAATAGCACTAGGTTTAATCCCGAGTATGCTCCGTATGTTAAGTTCTTTTTAAACAGAAAGACTGTTAGTGAATTAGCGAGTATAGTACAGTGCTGAGTAATTAAAAACAAGATTGTGGTTCATGTAGAATTTCAATAAAGCTTAATAATATCAGACATAAACATACAAGTGGGAATTCAAAAAATAGGCGATACCAATAGTATATATGTGGTGTGTAGATTATTCCCAAAAGTACTCATTGTACGTATATCAATCGAAAACACAAATGGGGCATTAGGAACATTAATAAAATCTAATCACGTATAAAGTTCTACTTGTCTTCATAAATTCAACACGGATCAATTGGGTAGAATTTAGTCAACATTAAAACGGACCAGAGAAACATGATTTTTATTTGCAAATATCTCAGTCATAAAGGTCAGTAGTTGCTGAACCACTCAAAACCGACTTCTCAGACTATAAAGCTGAGTGACACATGATAGAGTCCAGCAGGAAACAGGAATTTTTAACAGATTACAGATGCGCTTTTCTGAAGAGCATAATGCAAAATTTTGATTCAAGGTATCTTGTTTACTTTCTTCAATCACCTAACGAAGTAATTTTGTATTTTGACTACTTGTAATAGTTGTTCTATAGAGATCCATTATTTATACTGGTGCTTCTTAGAAATCAGTCCGTCCTGGCATATTGAAGTTATTTCTCCTTAAATCCCTTTCTCGCTTCTCTTCATATCAGTTTCTTCTTTTTCTAGTGGATCTAAAATTAAGAACTTGTTCCTGGGAGCTATCTTGAATTCTCATAGCCCGATGGCATCTCGAACGAGGTCTGTATCAAACTTTGTTGCTGCCTGTCTTAGTATCCAATGCCTCAATTATTTTAGTTTTGGCTTAACCACCACCAGTTGATGATAATCTGAAGCTGAATCATTTCCCTTCTTTGTTGTTACATTTTCAATTAACCTTATAAATTTTTCACTTATGCGGGTGTGATTAATCTGCTTTTCTACGATGTGGTTCAGTGAAACCCATGCAGCTTTGTGTATACGTTTGTTTGTGAAAATCCTCCTACCTACGATCATGTTCAAATCATATAGATTTGCAAGTTACTCAACGCCATCGTTCCTTTCTCCAAGTCCATGAATTCGTACTCAGTGTTGTCCATCTCAGTCTTGGGATTCAGGTCACTCATCAAGATGATCAGGTCTTTTTATGGCATTTCCTCTAGGATTCACTTCTGTATCTCACAAACGTGACCTTCATTATCTTAATGGCTGTCATTGATAAGTGCGTAGTACTGGAAGACATTCACTGCTATCCTTTCATTCCATTGTTATGAGGGATGCTTGGTGAAATCGCCTTGTATAGACATTCAATCTCTCTACCTTTATTGTTGCATTTGTTGGGAGATCAGCCTTGTGGCTTCAGATGATTCTGAGCTTTCACTAAGATGGGGTAATGACTCGTCTATATAGAGACCCTTCAACTGGAAAAAATCAAAATACTGGATCGGGAGAACTGTAAGTAAACAGGGCGCTTAGATCAATTAGCAATCAACAGGCCCATTGACAGTCAGTTAAAAGGTCAAAATTAACCGAAAAAGACAACCAACATGAATATGATAAAAAAACAGTAAGCATACAGTAACAAAA